ATTTTTTTGTGCATTGAAAGTAGTTGATTAATTGGCTTGATTGTATTATCAAATGTTTATATAAAATTTATAAAATATATCTATTTTTATATTTTTATTTAATTATAATTCATAAATAATTTTATAAAGTATTATTATATTCTTTTCTAAATGAAATGGAGTATTTTATTTTTTATGTGTATTTTAATATTCATATAATTATTTTAAAAAATTTTTTAAAAAGTTAGAAGAAAATGACAAAAATTATATAAGAGTATACTTAGATATTAATAAAATATGAAATATTAATTATTATTGATTGAATTTTAATTATTACAGACATAATTTCTTACAAAATTATAAATTAATTTTCAAAAAATTATTATTAAAATAATATTATTGATGGAAAAATATTTTTTAACAACAAAAATTTTCGACAATAAATTTATTAATAGAATTTTATAATACAAACTAAATTGTATTATCGACTACACTAATACCAAAAAAATTCTATAAGGAAATTCGTTGATAAAATATTTTTGGTAATGATTGATCATGTGGCTTAGAATGTATATTAAGAATGTAAAATACATGCTTCGCCTATACTTATTTCCTTTTGCATTTTCAAATTAGTTATCTTTTTCATTTATTATATTTATACGTGACTACTATAAATATATGTTTTTTTTATTGTAATTAATTTGATATGCAATTTAAATTCAAAATTAAAAAAAAAAACCCAAGTTCAAATATGAGATAAAAATTGATAATAATTTTAATTAATTATGAGTATATATTTTTAGTTTAATTAATTTTCATACAAAAATATTTGGTTTGAACCAAGTTCAAACCAAGTATTTTTGTGTGTTCTAATTTTTGTTTGAGGCTTGCTCTATTGTGTGTTAGTTTGTTATATGTGTTCGTTCCTTAACAAGTGATATCAAAGCGATGTTAGAGATGTGAAAAAAAGCAAATAGAACAAGCATGAGTCGAGAAAGTGTTTGAGTTCCGTGAAGATAGAATGTGTATCTCAAAATGTTTAAAGATATGTCTAGTATACCTAAGTTTGAAAATTTTTTTTATGATGAAAAGAGTAATTTTATGTTATGAAAAAGTACGATTCAAGATTTATTAGTGCAACAAAGGTTAGATAAAGCATTAGAGAGTATTTAGCTTGAGGAAATGACTGATTGTAATTGGAATAGAATTCTAAAAAAAAAGTTATTAGTACTATTAGATTGACCCTAACCTCAAAGATAAATTATAGTGTGTTGACAAAGAATACTCCAAAGAGTTTGTAGGATAAGCTTGGGGGTATCTATAAGTCAAAATTATTGACAATAGATTATTTTGAAAATGGATCTGTATTCTTTACAAAAAAAAAATACGAGTCCCCATGATCACCTAAATGAGTTCAATAGGTTAGTTTTTCAATTATTGGCTATTTCTATTTATGAGTTCAAGATAAAAAGAAAGCTTTAATTTTGTTGTCATTTTCGCCTAAGCCTTATAGATCTCTAGTTCATATTTTGTTGATAGGTAGGTTTACTTTGAAATTGGATAATGTAACTATCTTATTTCGTGAGAATGAAAGATTTGTGGGAATTGAAAACTCATCACTTGGAGGGAGTATACTAGCTATGGAGGATTTTGATCGAAAAAAGACTTAAGAGAAGACTGATGGATCAAGAAAAAGATCCAAGTCTAAAGGTAGAGATTATAGTGATATAGAATATTATTATTGTGGTAAAAAAGAAAAAATCTAAGTACATTGCAAGAAGTTAAAAAGGATATGACTACTTTTAAAAGGGCAAATGAGGAGAATAAGTTAGATGAAGAGAAAAGTGACACTATGGCTACTTGTTTGATAATGGTCTCCTTTTGATGACTTGTGTAGATGAGACACAAACTTTGAAATATGATAAAGGTTGAGTTTTAGATTCAATTGCTTTTATTCACATATACAAGGATAGGAGTTGTTTTATTGGGTTGGAAGAGAATGAGAAGTATGAAGAATTGAGGATATTGTGGTTGCCATTGAAGATTCAAGGTGTTGGGAGTATCCACCTTAGATTTCATAATGATGCTATTATGATTGACAAGCGTGTCAATTTTGCTAAAGCTATTGAAATGTTTAATGATTCAAATCAAGGAAAGATTTGTTAAGAATTTACGTTGAATTTTTATTCTCACATTTGGTTGTTGGATAAAATTATAAAAGTTGAGAGTTCATTTTGAATCTCATATGAAAAGTTACTATAGTTATATGGGGTATCACACTTATAAATAAAATATTTTGATTTTAGTTGGTGATTTCAAATAGTTTGACATTAAAAAAATAATTAAGTAAGTAGGCTATTAAAAGCATACAATTGAGCTTTGGATTAAGTTTTGACTTAAGAGTTTTATGTGACTTTTTTCATTATAAAAGTCTCATAATTATAAAGATTTATTTATTAGGATTGATTTAAAATATGTCATCTTAAGTGGATTGAACTAATTGTATTTGTGTGTTTATTTTTATTTTGGACTTATTCTATTATTTATGTGTTAATGTGCTGCATGTATTTGTTTGTTTCCTAACATGTCCCTCACCCATCTTCTTTTTAGTATTAAAACCCATTAGCTTTTCATAATTAGAAAACAAAGCGATAGAAGACTCTTTATTGTTCTTTCATTCTTTAAAAAAAAAAAAAAAATCCTAAACTCTATGAATCAAATGTCACGGGCTGATACTTAAGCTCTGACCCGTACGGCTCCAAGATTTGGGCATCCACTCATCCGATATCTCAGATCAGCCTGATTGTAATGGTTTACATCTTTGTGAGGTATTGTCCGCTCTGACTCCCCTGACCTCTCGGTTTTGTCATACAAAAAATGTCTCATAAGATAGAAGTAGTGTGAATCTTTATATACCTCAATAACTTTCTTTTTATATTCGATGTGAGATTCAGGATTTCTCTTTAGGTCCGTGACAAAAAAACAAACATCCAAGGACACTTTAATTTCATCAATCAAATTTAAAGCATATTTAAACATCCCGTGTTGTTTTTTTATTTATCAAATGCTATTTTCTAAATTTAGAAAACAAAAGATCCGTTTTTCTTTTGATTTTATAAGCTTAAAATTTATTGACATATTTTGGTAAAACTTTTTCCACTAAAAGGCTCCATGTAAGCAATTTGGTGTTACCCCATGTGGCAAAATTTTACAGAGAATTTGACCAAATGACCATAATGAAATTAATTTAGAAAGGTTTGAGATTCAAATGAAACAATTGTGAGGTTAGAGATCAAAATGGAACTAAAATAAAAAGTTTAGGATTATAGATATAATTTATCCTGTAAAAATATGCAGAAAAGCAGGAAAGTGAAGAACCTTTTAATGTGTAAAAATTGAGATTAGGATGCAACAAACTAGTTGGCAAAGGATCGAAGAACAAGGGTTCGATTTTCTGAAGCTGTTACTTTGTTATTACTTTTCTATTATTACTTTGTTAAATACTAAAAAATTACAATTTCATAATCATAAAAGTACTAAAACAATTTAATAATAATAAAAGTAAGTACATTGATTAACCTTAATATTGCATTTCAAAGGTATCAAGGCAAACAACTTCAGGAGAAAAATAAATTAGAGGAAGAAAATAAAGAAAACTTTCTGAAAGCTGGTTGGAGAAAAGAAATTCAAAAGCAGTGGAAAAGGGGTAATCAAAACATTGAGCTGACAAGTAGAATGAGAAGGAAGATTGAGGGTCCATTTGGATTGGATGGACGATCAAATTAATTTTGATGAAATTAAAAATAGTGATAAAATTATTGTAACTGTACACTGAATCTGAAATTTTCAATAAAAAATTTATGCTATGTTTGATCAAATGTATATCACTAATTTTTCATTTAGCTTTTACCGGTGATTTTTGGAACTTAACTGCGACGTGCAGTTGCATGCAAATCTGAATCCACCATAAATGGTGCAATTAATCTTCTAATCCGTTGCATTGCACAGAAAGCCGCTTCAATTATACTTTCATTTTATTCATTTTTGATAGCAGGTTAATCTCCGTTGATTCAGAAGTTTAAACCTCTCAAAAAACTTGTCATGATATTTTGACACCACTAAATCAGGTCTAATTAAAGTCCCTGCAGTTAGTCAGTTACCATTCCAATTCCTATAAATTGTACCACTGCCTCATGCCTAAGCTGCAACAAATACAATTTAACTTTCACTGATTTTGTCACAAGTATTATCACTTTGTGTAGGAAAAAAAAAATGAAGAGGTTTTCCTTTGTTGTTGCCTTATCTGTGGTAGCACTTGTGATGCTGCTGTTTTCTGGTGAAACACATGCCAAGGAAGCCATCGTTTGTGATCCATTAATCGTGCTAGAAGCACGCTTGGAGTCGTTCTAGACGCCGGCCCCTCCATCTGACACTCGTTGCAGTGAGACGAGGAAGCAGATGCCATGCATTTGGGAGTATTTTAAGGAGTTTCCTCCACCTGAGGAATTGAAAGACGACTTTTTTGACCAACCCAACGTTAGAAAAATCTCTAGCGTTAATGGGGTTCAATTTCCCGATCTTAATCAGTGTCTAAAGTTGTTTAATTAGAATATTCACCATAGGATTGTCTTGCTGATATGAATAAATATGAATAATGATGAATGGAAGACGTACGAGATTTGGAAATAAATTTAAAAATATAATAATGTGGGAACTAAGTTTTTCAAATTGCAATGGTTTGATAAAAAAACAAGTCACAAGCATCCTGAATTATTCTGATCAGTAGTTATATATCTTAATTTTCGGTTCCAAAATTTAACCATGTCTATATTTGAGATAAGAATGAAGTTTTTAGTTCGCATGGAAAATCATAATATTATCCAAGTGAAGAAAGCATAATATGCAGAGAAGCCATCAAAGCATGAAGATAATTGAATATGAAACAAATACTTGTTTCATTTAAGCAAATAAACGACCTAAACAATAATCCAAAACCAGCTAAAAGAATGAAAAATAAAAAGGAATTTTAACAAAGTGCCATCCGTATAACATAGTATAAAAGAACTTTCATGGTATGATGTTGCTAAGCCCTAAGGATACTGGACGCAGTATTCTCTTACTGCATAACCAAATTGGGGATTGAGAGGAATAAACATTCTGGGAAAGCAATCCTCCTTAAGCTGCTTCATCGCAGCACAACAATCTGCATCAAGAACTAATTTACTACCGTTATGATATGCTTTAAAAATATCATCTACACACTTTGTTCTAGATTGTTGAAGTGCACACCAACAATCCCAATTTGCTCTCGCAAGAGGTGGCAATAAAGGTGAAACGGGGCAATCCCCAAATGAGGGAGCCGGGAATTCAGGAGGCGGAGATAGATCGGGAGTTGGCGGAGGTGGCGGACTTGGTTGAGGCAATGTTGGTGGTGGCAGTTCTACAGGTGGACTGGCTGGAGGTTCTGGCAGATTTGGTGGTGGTAGTTTGGGAGGTGAGTTCAATGGAGGTTGTTGCTTGGGTGGAGGCGGGTTGACTGGAGGTTCTACCTTAGGTGGTTGTGGTTTGGGTGGAGGTGAAGTCTTTGGAAGTTGTGGCTTGGGTGGAGGAGCATTGTTTGGAGGTTGTGATTGGGATGGAGTTGGCTTCTTTGGAGGTTGTGGCTTGGGTGAAGGTGGGTTGATTGGAGGTTGTGCCTTAGGTGGTTGTGGTTTGGGTGGAGGTGAAGTTTTTGGAAGTTGTGGCTTGGGTGGAGGAGTATTGTTTGGAGGTTGTGGTTGGGGTGGAGGTGGAGGTGGGTTCTTTGGAGGTTGAGGCTTGGGTGGAGGTGGGTTGATTGGAGGTTGTGCCTTAGGTGGTTGTGGTTTGGGTGGAAGTGAATTATTTGGAGGTTGAAGCTTGGGGGGACGTGAATTTTTTGGTGGTTGGTTCACCGGAGGAGGTGGATTCTTTGGAGGTTGTGGTTTGGCTGAAGGTGAATTCTTTGGAGGTTGTGACTTGGATGGAGGTAGGTTAACCGGAGGTTGTGACTTAAGTGGAGATGAATTTTTTGGGGGCTGCGACTCGGGTGGAAGTGGGTTCTTTGGAGGTTGTGACTTGGAAGGTGTGTTCACTGGAAGTTGTGGGTTAGGTGAAGGTGAATTATTAGGAGGTTGCTGCTTGGGTGGAAGGGGGTTCTTTGGAGGTTGTGACTGGGGTGGAGGTGTGTTCACCGGAAGTTGTAGCTTGGGTGAAGGTGAATTCATTGGAGGTTGTGGCTTGGGTGAAGGTGAATTCATTGGAGGTTGTGGCTTTGGTGGAAGTGGGTTGTTTGGAAGTTGTGACTTAGGTGGAGGTGAATTTTTTGGAGGCTGTGGCTTAGATGGAAGTGTGTTCACTGGAGGTTGTGGAAGTTGTGGCTTGAGTGAAGGTGAATTCTTTGGGGGTTGTGGCTCGGGTGAAAGTGGGTTCTTAGGGAGTTGTGACTTAGGTGGAGGTGAATTTTTTGGAGGTTGCGGCTTGGATGGAAATGTATTCACTGGAGGTTGTGGCTGTGGTGAAGGTGAATTCTTTGGAGGTTGTGGCTTGGGTAGAGGTGTGTTCACTGGAGGTAGTGACATGGACGGAGGTTGTGATTCATCACCGCATCTACAAACACATGAACAACCATCAGGCTGTTCCATTGGTTCCTGAGCACTGCTATAACCTAACCCATCCTTCGACCATGATGTACACAACACCAAAACGAGCAAGGCAACAGCTAAACTTCGCATCCCTTATTTTTTTCAACTCACTTATTTCAGTTTTTCAGTAAAGCTATTTTTATAGATGATGTTGTTTACTTGCTTTAAAATTTTACATTCATTTGGTTTCTTCAATATGAAATTGCAATCATCACCAGTTGGGATTGATTTTAATCTAGCAATTATGTTTTTATCTCTTCATTTCATTTTTCTTCACCTGAATTTATCATTTCGTAAATGTAATTATATTATTATTAATATAATCTATAATGTATATCTAATAATTTCCTGAGCTAAATATTACTTTTGTTTTTGCTTTATCATCTGAAGATAACAACATGATTGAGATTTCTACTCTCGCTGATACTATCTACCAGAGTCTAATAATAGTTTTGTTTAGATTATATATGGGGAAATTCTTTAAATGATAATAACAAAATACTATGACTTTCTACATGATTTATCCAACATGATAGATATTTTTCAATAACTAAATTTCAATTTTGTTTAGATAATATATAGGGGAATTATTTAAAAATGTCCCACATGATTATCTCATCTAAACTTGAATCCACTTTTGGGCACGTTTGAGTTTCAAAAAAAATGTCTATATAGTGATTTTTGTTATTGTTATTTGTTGATAATTAGTCAAATTAATAAAATAATTTTATTTGTAGTTCTGTGGTATCTAAATTATGATTCAAGGAATTATCAGTAATGATTTATGATTCTCGGAATAAAAAGTTCTGTTTCAAACAAAGTTTCGGGGCTCCTTTCATTTCAACCAATGCTTAAACCAAAGTTTCAACCAATGTTTAGAGGTGTAATCAAGTCAAAGCACAGCTCTACTCGTAGACTCCAAACTTAAAATTCAAATCAAACTTAACTTAATTTTTCATGAGCTCAGTTTTACTCCTAGACTCTAAACTTAAAATTCAACTCAAATTTAATTTTTCATGCTCGAACTTAATTCATAATTTAATTAAATCTCTGAAACTCAATTCAATATATTCAATTAAGCTTAATAAATTATAAATATTGACATTAAACATTAATTTTTATCTTTTATTTATATATTAAATATATTAAAAAATAAAAGATTGATTAGACTAAATTAAACTCATCAACACTTCTCACGAGATATTAAACTATTCAAACCCGCTTAATCTATTAAATTAGTTCGAACTCGATAATGAATGAATCAAATTAAAATTTTTTTTTTTAATTGAGTCTGAAAAGCTCACGAATAGCTTGACTTGTTTACACTTTTAGCCACTATGCTACATTAATTGCTCATAAAAAGAAGGTGAAGCATACATTCAAGCTCTACGAGTAAACTTTAATTTAGGTTTCTGGCCAAAGATGGGGGGTAATAGATCACCACCAGTGTCTCTAGAAGTGAGTTTCTTAAGAAGTGAAATAATTCATGAGGAAGTAAGAAGCTTACCTTTCCAATGATATTGATTCTGATTTATCAGAGGTCAAACAACTGCATATTCTTCCTTAAACACGCCTTAGGATACAAACAGGATCCAATGATACAGTCATTTACAAAGATTTATGGAAACAAAAATTTTGGTGGTGTACAGGGATAAAGAAAAACTGAGCCTAATAACTCATCAAGTAAATTAACCATCCGTTAAACCCTAGGTCAGATGCAAATATCTACTAGCTTAATTACTTGATGATGTTCTAATCATGTCCAAAAATTCAAATGCCAACGCCTACGTGCAATCTCTAATGTCGGATCCATCTGTCTTAGGCTCTTTGCAGGCTTATGTTAGGATCCCTTTAAGGATCCCACGACCTTTGTGGCTATGTGAACTTATGTTCCCTAAACTAACTCTTAATCCATCTCAGACAAGTTAAATTTTTGGACAATGGGAATATATACTAAGGCGTTACCATGGCTCAGAGTTATTGCCAAGAAAATTTCTGCTATAAGATGGTTGGGTCCAACCTTCCTCCATTGCAATGAGATTGAGACGCAAAAGCAATCTCTGAACAGCATCTTCTTCTAGGATGCTAATTGAATTTGTTGACTGACATTGTGAGGAAGAACTCTGCAATAGTTTATTAAACCTCATTATCCCAGTCCATAAAAATTGAATTAAAAGTCATATATTTCGTCACATTGTAAAATTTACCTTTGTGTCTTGATACAACTTGAGATATTTCAGAGCCTGCCCATATAATCCACAATGGTAGAGGAGAATGCTGTAATCTCTCATTTCCTTTGGATCAGTTTTTAGAAGAATAAGACGTTCGCATGCTGCAAAAAGAGTAACAATTTCATAATAAAAGTATGTTAGCCTCAATATTGCATTTCAAATGTATCAGGAGAAAAAGACATTAGAGGAAGAAAACAACGAAAATTTTCTTAAATAAGGTTGGTGCAAAGAACTTCAAAAGCAGAGGAAAAGGACAAAGAAAGCAAACAGGGTAAGCAAAACAATGAGTTGACAAGTAAAACGAGAAGAAGATTGAATGCTTAGACTGGGAATGGTGCAAATAATCTTCTAATCCTTTCCATTGCAAGGTAAGAGGACAAGAGAAGACAAGCACAAACAAGCTTCAACAAACCTTCCATTTTATTGATCTTTGATAACAGCAATTCAAAGAGCTTTTTATATTTTTGCCAACAAACTCTTCTCAATTTAGAGTGAATGGTTTAACGTTTTCCCACCTGCCACCCCTGTACTTTTTTTTCCCAGATAGGACCTTAAGTTTAGCTACCACTCACAAAAGCACTTCCATTTTATTGATCTTTGATAACAGGTTCATCCCAAATGACACAAACCTATCCTATCCATATGTTCCACAAAGTCCCCATTTCTAACTCCAACGACATACTAAAATGAGGCAGACAATATTCCTATTTCCTTTTTTTTTCTTAAAAAAAAAAAAGAATAAATTATACCAATTCTCAGATTAAACTCATGTACCATACGTAGGACAGTTGGCTGGAATGTGCCAGGTTCAGGGTAAACTGGATTCTGGTTGTTGACATTACAAGTCAATCAGGTAGGACAATTGGGGTTTCATGCCGGATTGCATCAGGTTCTATTGATTCGAATATGCCTTTTTTTTTTTTTGAGATAAATGAATTTTATTCACCCAAAAGAAGCAGAAAACTCTACTACAGTGATACAAAGTGCAGCTAAAAGCAGCACAAATTACAAGCCAACAACATTCAATCAAATAGAAATGTGACAAACAGAAAATCATGAGAGAGCAAGTCCACAGTTTGACAAAAGATTCAAATATGCTTTTGTTGCCTTCCTAGAGAATGTACTTCTTCTCAAATATTCTGCTTGGCCATGTTTGGGCTATGTTGAGTCAGATCATTCACTTTTTGAGTTAGATCTGAGTTAGGTTGGGTCAAAAGGAATCAGGTTAGTTTTGCCACCTCTAGACTATCATCTTCTAATATAATATTACTAAATTGAAACGAAATTTACTCATGCAGCAACATCTTCTAGATACATACCAGACAAGGCACGCCTCATATCCCCAAATCGCACACTGGTCCAAACACCCCGCTCTAGCCTATGTTGAGCAGCCTTTGCGGATGCAAGCTGATAGCCGCTACAAGAAAAGAAATGTGAAATTATAACCTAGAACCTCAAAAGTACATATAAATACAAGATTAAATTGCAGTACAGATCAAATACCTCTCTTGAATGCCATTAAATTTATCTACACAGTTAGCAGCGTGTGCTGCCCTTAAAAATAAACTGTCAGCATGATCATGTTGAAATGGCCAGAGAGCATCCTTCAAATTTCTTAAAATCTGCAATCAAGAAACAATGAGAATGGAAAACCAAAAAAAAAGGAGAAAATGCAATACACATTACATAAATAAATCAAAGAAAAAAACCCAAGTAGAATATATATTGAAGATAAATGTCCATGAGTACCCAAAAAAGAAAAAGATAATTTACCCACAAGACAAATGTCAAATTGGAACTTCTCATGTAGAATATAAACAAAGTTAAACCAAATTACCACACAAGTTATGCTAACACTTAAATGTAGTTGAAATCCAAAAAATGCAACATTTAACTTCTCATGAAACACAGAAGAAAAAGACTTGCAAAAGAGAAGGAAATAATTAATCAAATAATTTGCAATCATTTCACATATTAGTTTCTTCTATTCTTTGAACTGTAAAAAGCACATGCAGATAAAGTAGAAAGTTGCCATCCAAGTTATCATCCATTTTTTCAACTCATATTCCGCTTGTCCCATGTGATAGAAAATCTATGAAAGTGAAAAAACACAAAACAAAGATATGGTAAAAACTTATTGGAAAAATCAACATCTAGCATTTGCTCTTTCACTTCACTTATATAGGATTAATATATAAAAATGTAAGAAGTAAGTAAATAAATAAATAAAAGAGCCAAGAGTATAAATGTCACCTTTTCCAATAGCATTTGTACGGTCATTATGTGTGGCTGATCAGACTCTTTGCTTTTTTGCTTATGATAGGCTCTAGGAAGACTATGAAGATCATGTGGAAAAAATATCTCAACATCAAAATCCAGAAGGCCCCACAAGCGAAGCATTTTCAGGATCTCTGAATGTAAGAGAGAAAGCAGTACAGAAGAACCTGAACGATGTGTCAAAACCTGCTCAAAGTTAAGATTAATGAACAAAACAGTCCCTATACAATGGTATACCCTTCAGAAGAAAATATAAAATTATATGATAGCAGGCTTTATTTCATACCGAGTGAAGATAAAGGGCTCGCGGCTCAGCTTGATTATTGGCACTAGATCTTCGGAAGCCCTAAGAAGAAGTTAATGGATTGACCAATTAGAAAAAATGATTGCATTAATAGTTAAGAAACTAGGTTACTGGTGTTAAAATAATTAGATTGATTTGCAACTAAAGAAGACAGAACTCTTCATTTCAAATATAAAACTAAAAAAGCATAAAGGCTACGATGTTCATTACAACACATTCTGCACATGACATTTACTGAAGAGAAAAGTTTTGTTACCAAAATGTTGCATTATTTCTTGAATCCAATGGAGTTAATATTAGTTAGTCAGTAGAAATGAAAAATATTTTGTTATAGTCAATCGACTTGAAAAGACATTAATAACATTTCCAAGATTAAGTTATGAGTACCTTTTTGACATATAAATATTTCTCTATGCTCTCCAAAAAATTCTCCGGTGACGACCTACATGATGAGTTATAGTGAGGGCAGTAGCCCATGGAAAGATCATCCAATCTTTCAAGGAAAGCATCCACTGGCAAAGGAACAGAAGAGTGCGAAATGAGAGAATCGTCCTCTGCTGCTATGTAAAGAGCTGTTCTCCCCAGATCAAGACATCTATTTATGCTGATACTTGTTTCTCTCTCGATAGCAGATAATTTTTGAATTTGTGAAATGAAACCCTTCCTTGCCTCCTGCTCAAAAATCAATTAAAATTAAAAATGTTCCATGCAAACCTTAAAAAGAGTAACAAGCTCAACTCAATATTTCACAAAAATTGCCATTGAACTAAACTCTCGGGTTTACACCATTGGACTTGAATAAAAAACCAAGACATAAATCTCAACCGCCATCTACAACCTTCAAAATTGAAAGTTTCAAGTTCTAATTGTTGCAATGTCCCTTAAAGATTTGTATTTTAAAATCATTACACGGTACACACTTTCCGAAAGGATTTTGTTTTTTTCAGCATGCATTTTTTTTCTTACCATTTATGGCATGTCAGGGTGGAACTATTTAAAAAAAAAAAAAAAAAAAAGGAAAATTGAATAAACTTAAAATTTACTGATTAAAGCAAATAGATTAATTTCAGCAACACAAAATTCATCATATGTATATCAGTTCTTGACAGATAATTCTTTAAATTATAACAAGAAAAATACCGAATAATCCACAAAAAATCAAATTACCATAATTGAATATTCTTCAAAACTACTAATGACGCAAAAAAAAAGTGAATTCATTTCAAAATTTTCCAAATTAAAAACAACGAATAAATTAAATTTAATAATCTTTGAAGATTTTAATAATCAAACATATTTCCAACTGAATCTAAATAAAATTTCTACAATTACACATTCTTTAAAATGAGATAAAGGCCAAAATAGGAAATTCATATCAAAAATTTCCTGAAACTGAAAAAAATATCATAGATTATGGAAGAAAAAGAGAGAATATTAGTACTCTGGCGTGACAGGTGTCCATTCCAGAAGATTCAAGAGCATCATGCAAGGCGAAGTTGAGATCGGTGGGAGAAGCGTGTTGAGGGGATCCGCGACGGCACACCACACGGTAAAAAGGTGGAGATAACGGAGGGAGGGAAGGACATAATTGACATTTGGAGAATTTAGAAGGAGAAGGTTTGGGAATCCAAAGAGACAATGAAGAAGCAGTGGCTATTGAAGAAGCTGAACTCATCGCTGGCTCGTTAGAGGAAACTTTGGATATTTTTTCTTCTTTAATTCGACGTGAGTGAGACATAACAAAGTACCAAATCTATCAATTATGAAATGAGCAAAATATCTAAATGATTGATCTTGAAATTTTGTTGACAATTGGATCAAAAGATTTTTTTTTTTTTTTTGAATTTTGGTAAATAAAGAAATTTGATTAATAACAAAAAAAATCTAGAATTGTACTATATTTTAATTCTAGCACGTTGGCGTTTCTTATTTGTACGGAAATTATTGGTCGGCACTTGAAAACAAAAGAAATAATTGGAAGCTAATATTTTTTATTTTTATTAAAATTATAATTGAATAAAATATAATAATTTACATATAAATTTTATTTATTTTATATTAAATATATGTAAAACACACAATAAATATATATAAAATATAAAAATTTTCATTTTGAAAAAATTAAACATGAAATTTTTTTTATTTTATCAAATTCATATAATTTTTTTAAATTTTAAATCATATTATTTTTTGTATTTTTTTATCATACCACAATATTATATTTAAAATTAAAATATCAAATACTTAATAATTATTAATTGACTTTTAGATCAAATCATATGATATTAAAGTTAACAATTAAAAATTATAAATTCAAAAAAAAAAATGTATACACGTAATGTACTCTAGTCAAATAAAAGATGTGAAATTTCAAAAGAAGAAAAAAATCTAACCGAACTACTATCACGCACGTGGCTGGGTAAGAACATGTGGTTCCAAAAATAATGATGGAATTAAGTTCCTCCGATGGAGCATTAGATGATTTCACCAGCATCAACCCTAAAGTTGAAAATTACAGCACTTATGCTTTGTTTGGATTGAGAAAAAGGGCAAAAAAGAAAAATAAATAAATAAATAATGAAAATAAAAAAAAAAATTATTTAGATAATTTTTTAATTAAAAAAAAAAAGAGGTACAAACTTAATAAATTTTTATTTTTTTTGTAATTCTTATTTTTTAAATACTTAAATTTGAAGGAAAAAAAAGAAAATTGAAAAATTTTTATTTTTATGAAAAAATTATTATATTCATATTTTTATTATAACATTAAATTTAATTATGTAATTGATTTTTTACAAAAATAAATTTTTTATGAATATTTATATAAAATCATAATTTATAAATATTTTATGATTTTTCAAGTTTTAATAACCAAAAAAATTAAATTATTATCTAAATAAATTAAATGATTGAATTAAATATAAAATTAAAAATAAATCAATAACTTACTAATACATATTATTGTATTTAACATACTCAATGTTATTTAAAAAGATTTGTTTATACAAACTAGATAATATATTTTTGTATATTATATAATACTTTATAAAATAATTATAATTATAAAAAAATATTATAATAAATTATTTCTTTTTCTTTTCATTATTTATCCTAATAATGATTGTTAAATTTCATTTCATTTCATTTTTTTAATTTTTAACTATTCAAATAAGAAAAACATGTTCTATTTCTTTTCTTTTAAAAAACTTTTCTTTTTTTTTTTCTTTATTAATATCTATCCAATCACAGTGATAAACGAATACTACTTGATGGTAAAGTCTTGGCTACCTCAATTCAACCAAAAGTGATAAAAATTGAAGTTAGATCCCTAGAATTTATTTTTTTTTTGAGTCCAATGTTTCTAATCTGATATCATACAAAGTTACAAACACTGATACACCATGAGTAACTATATAAGGCTGAGTTGTTCATCTTATGACCCGTCTGGTAAATGTTAATGGCGGTAGCTTATCTGTATTTTGACATCAAAAGCTTTCATGGATAGGCCTGGATACCACCAACATATGTTGCCTCAACTGATGCAGATCCTTCTGTAGCAAACTCATCCCATGAATCAGTTGATAGTATCACAAAATCAGCCAATTTTCCCGTTGACAAAGATCCTATTTCGTTCTCGAGAAAGCATGCCTGAGCAGCTGAAATGGTGTGCCTGTAATGGGGAAAGTGTGATTACTGATGTGGGTAATCACCAGCTAAAAGTATTTGAGTAAGGAGCAGGCTAACTTGCTCCTCACCAAAATGAATAAAATGAATCAATTATGAACATCTACAGTTTGTGTTGGCGTCGCATAGAAGCGAATTATGATGCAGTAAAAGCCAATGCAAATTCCAAAGAGAAAGGTAGGAATGCTTATCAAGCACACGCATTTGAACACTTTCTTTTAAAAGTTTGAAAGACTTCTATAAAGGAATGTGTCGACTTCAATTATGATATGGAATTTGGTTACTCTCCAGAAATCCCCATACTAAGCAGTGCACAGCGAGCATTTATATATTAAAGACTAAATAAGTATACATCTAAGACTAACAGATAAAGTAGTTCTAGTGTTGCTTACGCAATTAATGCGTCATTCAGTGAAAGGCGCTCAGATGGAATCCATGCATGGTTCCAACCTCGAGGAATTCTTTTCATTGCTGTTCTTACAGCACACAAAGGATAAATGCTTGTAACCTGAAAGAACAGCAAGGAATGAGGTTTTGTTAAGAGCATGCTGAAAAAGATTCTTTTGAGAAAATAAAATGAATGGTAGAAACTATAAAAAAATATTAATCAATGGATAATTCTCACAGGCCAGTCAGAACCAAGAGCCAACAATGCGTTGCTTGATAGAAGTGACCGGAAAAGATATGACCCCTTTTGAGCCCTATCCACCCCAAGCTTTCTGATCGCCACATCAGCATCATCAAGCAAGTGATCTGGCTGTTGACAATAGAATCCAAGTATCATCAAACCAAAATTATTTCCAGTAGCATTGCATAAGAATGGTTCGTGGTTAACAATTATATTGTAGCCTATATATGCCTTGCACCCTTTTAATTGAAGTTTGATCACTCTCACGTGGATGCATCTGTAGTTTCAAGTTTTTAGCAAATAACAAGGAATAAAATGCACAAGAGCAGATGTAATTCATGGTCCAAACATGAACTGCACTGCAGTTACAAAATCTGAATAAGAATGTGCACATTTCATAAGCAACCTCTTAGTATAAATAATGAACATCTAAAGGTTGTGTCGAAAAGAACTAAAACCTGTACTGACGCAACAATCCCTTGTTTGCCAAATCGATCTGCTGTCCCAGGGGCCAAATGCTGGGCATGCTCAATCTGAAAGCATTTGTGCTCAAAATAAAATACCAATGATTTATAATAATAATAATTGAAAGGAGACAACCCAAACACGATGAAACTGAAATTAGTTTGAGTGTGTGCATGAATGCAAATGTGGGTAGAGATTTCAACCATTACCCTAAATCTCCTATCCCTCTTTCCATTTTTTGAGGCAACAGATTCATACATATCCAGGACCAAGTCATTTGCTCTATCACCTATAGCATGGATAGCAACCTGAAATAAATTAAAAGAAGTAAGCTTCTACAACTGATAAAAGAGTTCATTTGAGAGGGAGAGTGAGAGTGCAATTAACCATGGATGACCTGAAGCCCAGACTTGTCTGAAGCCATTGTCATGTTGAGAAGACTTTCAAATTCCACAACTTGTAAGCCAGAATTGTGAGGGTCATCGAAATATGGCTACAGTATAAGAAAAATGTAGTAGCATTAGATATTAAATTGCTGGTAATAGGTTCCCCTACATCCTCCTCCCTCCCCCCCCCCCCCCCCCCAAAAAAAAGAAAAAAAAAGAGAGAGAGAGAGAGGTCATGCTGCAGAGAGAGAGAACAAGCTGCATTAGTACACAATCCAGCTTGATGATCATCTAAGACAATGTCAGAATACATGCTTACCATTGCAGTATACAATATACGTTTTGATTACTGAGTTTATTATCAAAAGTAACTTTGGAAGCATCTTATTTCTAGGAATTGAAATTGTTCCATTCTCTCCACTAACATTGATTAGAAATTATCAGATAAAACATTAACTTAATGTGATCGAAGCTTGAGCAAAGAGATCTCTTGCCAATAACTAGGCATAAAGGGATCAATTGGGACTAGATCAGGATTCTACTAGAGAACCGAATTGGACAACTTCCAAATCTTGCCATTAAAAGAGCAGGGGAGAAGACCAGAGCAGGAGTTTTGAGAAAACAGGAGGCAAGAAAAAGGGGTGGCCAGGAGGATGGAGGAAGAGGTAACCATCCTTCATTTTTTATTCCAGAGAAGATGGAGAAGCTGGTCAACTTTCATCATACAGCTTCTGGAAATCACCTTGTTAAAACAACAAAAGATGCTAGCAAAAGCAAACATGAGATCCTTGAGGATTAAGTAATGAAAAAAATGCATCTCCTGGTTATGACTACTCAAAATCTATTTCGTAAACATAAAAGGAAGTTAAAGGTGCCTAGACCAATGTAACAATTCAGTCAAAAAGCACCTTAACTAATTCAACCGGTAGGTCAATCAATAAGGTACAACATCTCATCACATTTTTCCAATTAATATGTCCAGTTTTGGATTATCCTTATTAACAGTCTCTTTTCAATTTATCATCAATTGAGATATTTGGCGGCTAAAGAAGTATCCATGACATTTAATAAGCCATCTGCATGTGTGCATAAGATTCGATTTCCATGAAATGCCCAAAATCGTGTGCAAGATGCATCAGCTATCTGCTGTCTTCTAACATTCAAAAACAATCTTAAAATATGCATAAAACAGCATGCTAATGAAGGGCTAACAAAAGTAAAAACTATAAAAGGAATAGTGTTCTAAGTTAGCCTCTAGGTTATATTTTGTCAAAAAGCTTTTTAAGTTTATGCTTTATATAAACAACAAACTCTAGATAAATAAGCCCAAATTAGCTCTTTTCTTTTAAATTCAAATAAATTTCCTGCTAGACAAATGGATGAACTTCAAACCATATATCTACAATTCACCAGAATGTTAGTCAGCACAGGTTGATGGTTCTCACCTCATGGAAAAGAGCACTATTAGAACCTAGAGATCCATCAGCAAAAGCTTTAACACCACCAAAGTAAATCCAATTGCTCAGAGCATGGCCTGCTTTATGAATCACATCCTGATACAAAAAAGAAAAACCTTACAAATAAACCAAAATGAAGAAAGAAAAAAAAAATCAGAGTACAAGGTAAAACAGAAGGGTACAAAGAACATTGATCTCTAACAGGACAAGATATTTGCACACAAAAGTAATGCAAAGAGATCGCAAGCAATAATAGTTAAAGATAAAAATTAATGTAATAATGCTAAAGTGTAAAATGATGGAATCCTATAGCCAATTACAATATAAAGCTTCAAAACTAGGAAAGAAAAGAAATTGCACAAATATATTTTCAGAAATAGACAACTGAAACAATTGGGATTTGTATTAGAGATTGGATTCAGTTATTAATTCATGATATATATATATATATATATATATATATATAACACTAAGAAGTCATTCAAAGAAATGGAAGTAAAAAATAACTGTATCGTCTGTTGCACTATGACGAGAGAAATTGACAGGTCATACATATAACCGCGACCAGGTCTCCATTGGAAAAAATAAGCACACTCTGATTATCATCTTCCCTGAGGAATCAGCCCAATGATACACATCTGTACAAATGATAAAAAAAAAAAGAAGACAATTATGATATGGAAAAAGGTAATGTCATGTTCTGAAGGTGTGTTTGACGGTTTCTTAGAGCAGTTTTCAATTCATGCCAACATATACTAATGACAACTCCAACACCTGGAAAAGATAAAGAAAATCCTTACAAGGATACTTTGATGTAGCATTTTAAATACCACTCGAATTTTCTCACATCATGTTTAATTGGTTTATTATTGTTTCAACAACAAACTAGGAAACAGGTCTTTATCTTAATGTAAATGCAAGACGCTATTCACATAAGGAGCTAAATTGTTTCAAATAATATGCAGGACAGGAAATACAATGAATAGTTTCATTTGATTTGATATTTACATTGACCCAGCAAACTATTTTAGGTGAAACCTGAAAAGTCCCGCCAGGAATCCTCAACTGGTGCCCCAGGAAAATATCTCCCAAAATCTACAACAGCTGTGACACCCCTTGTCAAGGCAAAACTGCTAGCTCTAAGCATAGCTTCCCTCCTTTCATCTACAGAGACCTCTGGAATCCTGGAAAGAATAAGTTCCATTGCAGCATCAATCAGCAGACCTGCAGGTTCTGCATGGTCATAATGGCAATTTAATATAAGCAACAAGTTTGTACACTGTTAACTTCATTATATTAGAAAAGAACCTAAGGAAATTCATAGCTGGAAATTGCATTCATTACCAAACTACAAGAACATGAGGCATCTGCAAGATTAATATTTTCCAAAAATGTATTACATACTATAGGATTTATTATACTGAAAGTATGCCTGCCATGGCAATTGATCTGGTTGAAAAAATGTTTGCCTAACTTTCTGATTCTACACCACAAAAAAGTAAGCAAAACAAATGAAAGAAAGTACTTATGTAGAATCTAAATTGCCAGGAGACCATACAGCAGTATATTTATTCATACGCAGCAAAGCACAACAAAATTGTTGAGGCAAAAGAACTAAACCTTCTGTTAATATGTGATATTGTATGTGATATAAAAAGTAGACATTATACCTGATAAAAAAAATTAGAAGATTTAGACTATATTTAAATTTTTATTTAGCTACCACAGATAAAATGCTGCATGTGTCCCACCATGCAATATCAACCCTAAAACTGGTAATAAACATACCTCCATCAGCAGTTTTCATAATTGTTCCACCATTTGGATCCTTAGATAAATTAGTGACCCCAGCCAACTTTAGTGCCATGGAATTTGCCAAGCCCATATGACCATCCATCCTTGCTAGCCAAAGCTGCAAAACAAGATATCATTACCATGTGTGACACATAGAGCCCTTATGTTTATATAAATAGCTAATGTCAATCAAACTACAGCTTCTTACAGGACTATCAGATGTGACATCATCTATCCAAGATGCCACTGGAAGTTCTCCTCCCCAAAGCTCATTGTTCCATCCACCACCCAGAATCCATGAACCCCTTTTGGCATCTATAAATATTCATAAGAATGTAGGAGTGAAAAAGTTCTGTAAGATTTGGAAAAACATGTAAGAAGCAAAACCACTTAGAATAACTTCATTCAATTATATGCTCACAGGGGGTTTCTATATCTCCCTTTAGTTGTTCTCAAATACAATCGACTTCTTCACAATCAAATTTTCACAGTTTCAGAGGGATGGATGTTATCAGTGACAGGTTGATTAGTGGGTGTGTAAAAGCAGAACTACTGCACTAGAAGGTTCTTATATCTGCAGTCCACAATTTTTAGCATCAATTTTTATATTGAAAATAGAAAACTAGACTTCACCATACACATCATTATTACACATTTTAAAAAATAAACCATTGTTTCTAAAAGAAATAAAAGATGTGCAAAAGGAGATTAACTAATTTCCTAAACTGTCCATAGGCTACCTTCAGGCTGTAAAATATATGGGTCTAAGACTATGTCAAGCTAAAGAATAATTTGGATGGTTCTTTTGTACAAGGCAAATTTGAATATGCAGTAAACATAACAGCATCGAAGCGTCCAACCGAGCTGTCAAAGTTGTCTCCTAAACTGCACTGAATAAGCTGGAGATAGTAGAGTTGATAACAATCGGCCTAAGAAGTCCACTTTGTCTAAATTCTAATATACCAAAGTGTCAAGAAGCCATGAACGATCATGATTATAGACAAACAAAGAAATGATAGGATATGACAGCTAATCCCTTTTACATATAAAACAAATCGGCTGGTAAAGAATATTTGAAACTTAATATAGAAACTTTTCAGAAATTATGTTAAGAAAAGTACAAGCTTTGAGGACTGATGTGATTAAATAACAAAATAAACTGATATATTTTTCCATTGTCCAGAAAAATAGCAAAACAAAACACCAAGAAAAGAAAATAATAATTAAAAAGCAAGAAGATACTTAGTGCTGCTTCTTTCACCCTTCTCACAAACTCATCTTTCCGACTTACACCTTGGAGCCGCACACGTGCCATCTGTTTTACACAATAAAATCTCAATTACATATAGACTACAACTACAGGAAACTAAAGCAGAAGCTCATAGTAATGGAAACAAAGATTGTGTTAAAAGCAAAGCACAAACTTTCAAAAAATGTAGAGGCATATTTTAGGAAGCTGTCCATAGAATTGATTATGGCTTGGAAGTTGCAAATGAAGGGGATATTCTTTATCTATGGTTAATATTCGATGAAGATAGGAGTTCATAAACAAACCTAAAGGGACAATGAAAGAATAATAAAGTGAATAATAAACTCTGTCTGTAAATTGTCATAGTTTTAAACAACAGCATGGCTACCTAATTCAAGAGAACACCTCTAATATAACACAAGGATTCTGAAAATAAGTAACTAAGTATCATCCCAAGCTGCTGTACTCCACCACGAGTGAAGATATCATAAAAGTGCTTGTTTTTAGATCTCTGTTTCTGTGTAGCTGCAGCTGGTCATGTACAAGTCATACATACAATCTCACGTTAGCTAAGTTAAGATCGTGACTTTCAGTAAGAATAAGGAATTCAGACACAACCTTTTAACACATAAAAACCTATTAAGAAACTCTATGGCGGTGAGCTCTTGCACATAAGAATCCTTATGGAAGAGAAGCAGAAGAAAACATAAAGATATAAAAATAAGAAATATTATTAAAAAGCTATAGAATACCAATAAACATAACAAGAAGACGTAAAACAAAAGTTTACTCACACAGGAAAAACAAATAGAAGAGGCTTCTCAAAAACTCCAAACTTAAGTGTTCCAATAACTTGAGAGTCCCATATTCTTCCTCATAAACTCCAGGCGACAGTAAAATACTCAAAGTTTCAAGGCTTCTATTGCATCCATCAATAGACAACAAACTCAAAATCTTTTTCTACATTATCCCATGAAACAATGCTAATAAAAAGGAACATGGACAAAAATTTGTCTGACCCCTGTAGGCTCTTCCTGTTGATCCCAACCTAAATAATGCTTGTAGAAATTCTATCTTAATTAAGCCAACCCTTATCAGATTAAATACATGAATACCGATGTATGCAATTAAATTTTTATGTTTCTATCAAGCTTATCAAATGAAAAGGCAGACTACTCTACATAAAGAAAAATGATTGCATAGTAGTTTAGTACATTTCATATTACTCTCTTCATTAAAACCTGAATTTAACAAAATAGTTCAGAATAACTTCTGATATGCATAATATCAGCTCAGTAAAAGTGAAAAGATTCATCAATTGCAGAAAAGAACTGGAAAAAGAAAATGAAAAAAAAAAATCAGATCAGTAGGTGGAATTTCTTAAAACCTGAAGTCCTGAAAAAATCAGGTGCACATGAGAATCAATAAATCCAGGTACCACAATCTTTCCTTTAAGATTGAGCTCTTTAGTGCCATATCCTGCCAAATCCTGCATTCAAGTAATTAATAAATGTAAGCAGGATTGCTTTTCCAAACTTACAAGTTTGTAAATTTTTTTTTTATTTCAAATGGATAGTATTTTTCAAAATAAAAAAATCAAGTTGAAACTACTACAATGGCAAAGATTAACCCAGAAATTGACATGTTTTAAGAAGAAACATAACAGCCATTAGCCAAAGAAAAAACCCACATGCAAAATCAAAAGAAGAAGAAAAAAAAAAAAAAACCTGAAGAGAGGAATAGTTGCCAAGACGGAGGATTCTTCCGTCACGAATGGCCATGGAATCAGCAAAAGTAAAAGAAGGGTCACTAGTGAAAATGACCCCATTTTTAACTATCAAATCAGCCGCTAATTTAGTTGATGGAATCAGTGAAGCTCTCCATTTCAACCAATCTGAGACAAAAGAAAAAAAAAAAAAGTTAAGTAGTAAAATTAAGGAGTACCCAAGTTGATGAATTGTAAAAGGAAGTGGAAATGAGTAGAAATTGAGAAAAAGAGCGTTTGGTTTTAGTTACAATTTGAGTTGAGGAGGTGGAAGAAGAGAATAGAAAGGAAAATGGCAATCGAAGCTGAGATGACGATGCGGAGATTCATGCTTTTTTCTTCTTTGTTTTTCCTCGGCTTGTTTTTGTTTTTATTATTATTATTATTATTTGGAAGGATCATATTATCATTTACATGTTTGTAAATATTTTTTTTTTTATTTCTATAGCTTCGGAATAATTTTTTTAATAGTTTATCATACAACATATGAGTGTGTTTCATTGTATTATTTAATATATAGGTGCCCAATACATATCAAAATTTTTTTATTTTATCATCTTTATTCATTGATTTTTTTATAAAATTTACTTCATTAAAAAAATTAAAATTTAAAAAAATCAAATGAGAATAACAAACCGATATCTCAATCGGCTTCATATTTTTATAAAATTTATTTAATAAAAAATTTTTAAAAATAAAAAAAGTAAAAGGATAAAAACGAAAAAAAAATTTGATGAAAAAAAAAGTTCAAAAGGAATGCTACATGAACACCCTTAATAAGTTTAAAATTTTAATTTTTAAATTGAGTTTAAAAAATATATATATATAAATATAAAATTAAATTAACAACAAAATATATATTTTTGTATATACCAAAATAAGTCAAGCCAAATCATCATAAAACACTTCCACTTTGATCTTGTTGCTCGTAAAGACTCATCCGTCCCAATTTAAATTTTTCTTTAATTTGATTATTTTATAAATTTATTTAAATAAAGAACAAAAAAAATTTTTGATAAAAAAGAAAAAGTAAAACAAAACCAAAATAAATGAAAAAAAAAAGGTGTCACATTGGCATTTGAATGATTATGGAATAAATGTAAAAATAAATAAAATTTATATAATGAATGCATAAATGCATGAATTATATCTTAATTATTTATAAATATAATATTTTTATATTTAAAAAAATTAAAAAAACCAAAAATAATTTCTAGTATAAAACAAATCCCACTATTTCAAAAATAAAATCTATAAAAAAATTTATAAAATATTAAAAATAACAAAAAAAAAGTGACATGGCTAAAAATTTTGATCATATATTGTTTATCCGCACATGACAAAAATTTAAGTTATAAATAGATGTATATTATTAAAATTTAAAAATAATTAAAAATAAAAATATTTTTATTTCAAACTATAAAAAGGTTAACCCTCACATATTGTATATATGCATTGTTAGATGATATTTTGGTATATATTATCAAAGAATATATTTTCTTAAACTTATCAAATTTAAAAATTGTTTTAATCATATAATTTATACAAGGGTTAAAAAATAATGTTTTGAAAATATGAAAAAGTCATAATAATAATAATAATAATAATAATAATATTCTTTACTCTCCTCTAAGAATTACAATTCCTTATCCATCAAGAATTGAGAATAATATTTATGGATAATTTTGTTTATATATATTTATTAATTTTAATTTTGTCCTTACATATTTAATTATAATATTTAATTAGATAATAAATTAATATTAATTAAATTAAATTATAATAAATAATTAATTACCTAATATTAAAATATTATTAAATTAATATTTCATATAAAATAATATTATAATATTATAATATTGTTTAAATAATATTAAGTATTAAATATTAAATATTATTAACTTAATATTAAAATTTTAAAATATTATTAAATTAATATTGAGAATTTAGCTAGGTAAACCAAATGCTCCTAATAATGAATTTGAATGCTCAAATCTATTCCTTAAGAATAGTATAGTGACATGTGGTAAGTCCATTAATTACCATGTGTTATTTTTTTTTATTGTTTTTAATTTTTTTAAAAAATATTTCTAAATGTTGGTATGTTAACATCTGGCCAATTTTTTGCATACCATGTAAAAATCTTTAAAATAATTTTTTTTGTCAAAAAACTTATTTGTTTAATTATAATTATAGGAGTTGAGTATAGGGATAATGATGTGTTGTTGGCAATTTTAATGCCCTCAAATGTTTTTTTAAAGATAAAAATAAGTGCCTAGAAAATAAAAAAAAATCCATAAAAATATATCTAATTTGGTTAAAAAAAATCAACCATCAAAATGTTAAAACTAACAATATATTAAATTTCAATCACTTATTAAGATAAAAAAAATTGACAGTAATTAATTGAAAAAATAACCTACTTGAAAATTAATAAAAAATTATCAGATCTAAAATTTCAATATTTTTTAAAAATGTCTTTTAAAAACAAAAAATTTATAATTACAAAACTAAAAATATTAGATTTGAGATTTTTAATAAATTACAAAAAAAATTAACAACAATCAATCAATGCAAACAACCATATAAAAAACTCTAGATTTAAATTTTTCAAAAATTTTTTTAATAAAAAGATTTAAAAAACTAAAAAAGATAAAAAATTTTAAATTATTTTTTATAAAAATTAAAAAATACCCAAACGAAGCAGGGGCAACATTCTAGTTCTAATCTGAAAATTCAAAATATATCTGTTGGACGTGCTTCTTTATTTCAAGAGAGATGATTCTTCATGTAAATTAGTGGCGCAGCCACATAAAAAATAGGGATCTATTAACCCACTAAATTCTTAAAAAACTTAATTTGGCATTGGTGTTTTAATAAATTTTTGTGTAATTTACTAATATTAATCCTACCAAAATTAATAAAAAGATAAAAAAAAAATTTCTTTAAAAATCATATATTTATATTATATTATATATGATTATAATTTTTTTTATTCGTTACTATTTGACTAGTAATAAGACTATTTTATTAAAATATGAAATGTGACATATTTTCAAATATATTATCATAGAGATTAATCTTTGACTTTTATTTATTTAAAAATATTTTTTATTTGCTGACGAAATCTTATCGTAATAATAAGAAAGAAACCTTCAAACCTTTCAAGTCTCTAGGTTCAAGTTCCATCAACTTGAATTTTCTTTAATTGGTTGGTTGTTAATTTGATTTGTTTATTGAATTTTCTTCTTGATGTATATTAATTTTTAACTAAATAATTAGATAATATATTTTATAATTTTTTAAACTTAAAGCTTTTAGATTTAATATAATTTTTTTTCAATAATATAATGTATAGATAAAGAATAAAAAATATAAGGATCTTAATTACATAAGATACATTTAAAGTGATAACATAAGTGTTTTAATGAAGGATATTGAGATCAAAAAGCAATGAAAAGATTATTTTGATTATCTTTTTAATGGTAATTTTAAGCATAATATAAATAAAGAATAGTACCAATTGATTTTAAATTATCAAAGCCGTAAAATATGTTTATAATCTTATTGAATAACTTTTAATATTGTAAATTAATCTTAAAATTACTCAAATAGTTTGATATCATATTAAAAATATTTTTTCATCTCAAGAGTATTTATAGAGATTAATATTTCACTTTAAAAAAACTCTGTTATCGAATTCATTAATGTGTTTTCAAGATATTAATTATTTTTAAAATCAATATAATAGTCCAATAGTTTAGTAAGACTTTATTTCGAAGCATATTCTTCGATCATTTTGTTGGAATTTTATTTAAAAATTTATTTATGAATTTATTTTTAAAAAATTATTAAATATTTCAATAATTTAGTAAAACTTAACTTTGGGATTTAAATTTTATAATAGTTTGGTATAATTAAAAATTTTAAAAAAATTAAATCTTTTAATAATTTGATAAGATTTAATTTGAAATTTAAATCTTCTAATAGTTTTATAAGATTCATGGATTTATTTAAAAAGAATTCTTTAACAAAAATTAATTTAAATAAAATAAATAAATAAATTTTAAATTAAAAAAACTGTCGGTGGCGTGGCTCGCCTTAATAGCAGCTTGGCAACAGACATAGTATGTGGCTCGATTGCGATGGTGGCTTGGCTTTCGCTTTAGTAGGGGATGTGGGTTATCGGGTCATACGGTACTAGTCGACTTGGGTTTCCAGTAAAAAGCTCGGATTTTCTAATTTAATAAAACACGAAATGGTGTCGTTTTGAACAAGTATAAAAGCCCAAAATTTTCTTTTTTTTTAGATTTCTCCTCTCTCTCTCTCTCTCTCTCTCTCTCTCTCTCTTTTCTGCTTCTTTCTCTAGAAAGAAAATCCGATGGTCAGATACTTCAAGGCTTTGTCAGGTTTTCGCTGGAGTTTGGATTTGGTTGTCAAACTTTTATCAAAATCCAGGTTTGGTCATTAACAACTAGAAATAGTCATTGAAAATTTGGGAATGTGCTAAAATTTCATCAAAAAATTTAATCGAAAAATAAAAATTTTTTAAAAATTTTCCAAAAAATAAAATAAAACCTCCTTTTGACCAACTCTTACTTCTCAAGGCTATTTCCCAACTTATTTTCCAAAATTTCGAATTGCAATACTTCCAATATAATCACAAGTATTCAAAACCTAAATATCCTACCTTTACCAAAAATTTATTCGAATTTCTGTCTAATTGTTCTCCCTGATTTGTATGTCTCTTATTGTTGAATGCTAGCTTATAGGGGAAGTATTTAGATTTGATAAGGATTACAAATTTAATAAAGATTTAATTTTTTTTTATTTTCATATATTATCCAAGAACAAACACTTTAAATTAATTTCTTCAAAAGAGACCAATTTAATCTAAACCCTTCAAAATCCCATGAATTATCTATCAAAACAGAAAATATATATACCCATATTTTTGCACTTAGTTGAGCCATCACTTAATTTTTCATTTTCGATTTCTTTCCTTTTTTTACAATAAACAAAAAAAAGTAAAATAAAAATAAAAATAATACAAATAAAATAAAGATAATGAAATAAAGATAAATAAGATAAATAAAAGATAAATAACAAAATAAAGATAAACATAAGATAAATATAAGATAAAATAAATATAATGGTAAAGATAATAAAATATAAATGAAAAAAATGAAAATTGGACATTTAAGCTTGAAATTAAGCCTAGCCCAGTTGATTTGACGTTTATAATAATATTAAAAGGTATAGTGATAAAGAGGCTTTTAAGAATGATGAAAGTAAAAAGAGTTATAAAATCAGATGAAATCCTAATTAAGGTTGGAAATACTTAGGTAAAATAAGATA